TTCACATTAATATTATCTCCTTGTTGAAATGCTGGTTCCTGTTCATTCTTTAATATTTCACCGTTCTGACATTTAACTTCAACGTTTTTTGATTCCAATTGAATATTCTTCAATGATCTCATTACATCGCCATATCTTCGTTTTGCACATATTGCATTGAGATTACATTGTACAGTAAAGGTCAGCAAAGATATAAACGCGTTTGTCAGTGCAGCAATTAACATCCCATATTGCATAAGTAAGTCTTGCATCCCACACGTTAAAGTTACATTAAGATCAACCTCGTTGACTGCCTCCCGTGGATAAGCCTGTAAAAATGGAAATCGGTAGTCGTCTCCCATTGTCCATATATTAAATATAGCACCATTAGTGTTATTCTGCCAGTTATAACTCAGTCTTATCCCATCATCAATGTGATTCACGAGCAATATAATAGCCGTTAAAATAGCACTAAAAACATCAGATGCCGAAAGAACATAAAACGATAATTTCTTCTTGCGTTTACATCCTTTCCATAACAGAATCACAAGCGTAATAAAACTGGATAGCAACAGAGTGTAACCTGTTGCATCTAACACCGCGGAATGCATAGTGCGATGGCAGATCTTTTTCGATTAAAAATATTTGTCTTTGTTTATTGAAATTTATTTACACCGATTATTTGCAAAACTACCACACCTTGAGATTGATAGAAACCGACTGAATAAAGTACTTGTTATAAGCATATGGGTACTGCATACGAATATATATATGTGGGTACCCAGTTAATGCAACGTACCTAATGCAATTTAGATTTATCTGTATTGACTGCATATGAGGGCAAAATACTTATCAATTTAAACGTTGCTGATGGCTCAATTATCTATATTTTTACTGTTATGAATTTTTTTATATTCATTTTATTGAGTAGTTTAATTACACCATGAAATCGGTTAAGGAAATAATAATTAAAAGTAAAAGAAATCAAGTATTTAATGAGAGTTTAAACATGAATATCAGATCGCTTTTGATTGAGATTTATCTTAATTTAATAATTAATTGTTTCATCGAACAAATTAGTATTTGAAAATAATTAGCAATCTTTTTTATTATATAAGTATATTATATATGTACGTTATTATATAAGTTTTTATTATATAAATGATAAGCCTATAAGAGTCTCTGCGGGTGTTAGTGCATAAATAATATATTTATAAGACGATATATATTTATAAGATATAATTCACAAATAATGAAATGTACTTATCAACGAAGTTAACTATAAACGTTTCGATTCTAGATTTCAGTACAGTCCTTTTATCACCTTATAAATATATTATTTATCCACTAACATTAGTAACAATTGCAGAGGCTCATATAAGTAATTTACTTACATTTGTTTTATTTTTGGAGCCACAATATTTTAACTTTTTTATTAAATTCTTTTTATGAGTAATTGATTAAATATTTTATTTTTCCGTTGAATAATTTGGATATAAGAAATTAAAACTCAGAAAGGAAACAGAAGTGAATTGCATAAGTTATTTCTTGTTACAGTTTGCTATCAATATGTCTGTACGTCGGAGAAGCGATCCATCTATGATTCAGCGGATTTGGGATACGATCAAAATCACGGTACATCAAAGGAGCTTACCTAGTAATGATCGTATGGTACGGCACATGGCTCGAGTTTATGGCTTTACGGAACAAGAGGCTCAGGAGGAACTCAATAAAGCAGTCGAAGATGGACTTGTTCTATTGAAGAAAGTGCCCACGAAAAGCGGCGTCGAGCAAGAGAGTTACAGATTGCCACCGGCAGACATATTACAGAATGATAATCACGATTGGTACTGTTGCAAATGCCAGCAAGCAGGTGCAGTCGAATGCTGTGAACAATGCTGCAGGGTTTATCATTCGGAATGCCATGTACCCAGCCCTGCAAAACTAAAGATTTGTAATTTCTGCGAGGTAAGCATCTCGAAGTTCTCAATATATATCCTATTGATGATATTCCATTAAAAATACAAATTATCTTACAGAAAACAAACAGCGACGTATATTCCGACAAGGTTGATCTCAACCATATTCTTAGTTTTACGTGTGGTCATCTAAAAGCGAAATTACCGCCGGAAATTACAAATCGTACTATTGTTTTTAACAACGATCCGATCGTTACACCACCCAATGGCTTTTCTGGACCAACCTGGGTGAGTGAAGGTGAAGATGCATGGCGACCAGGAATTCTTATAAAGCGTCATATGGATTTGGCGATAATGGATGCTAAAACAAGCAATAATGAGTATAACAATCTCGCCGAATTTGAAGCTGATGCACATAATATTTTACATAACATCATTATATATCATGGAGGTAAGGCTTTATATTTCGATGCATTTTCTCTTTTTAAGTATCTCATTGTCTTGTTGCTTGAGCAGTTAATAGCGTGATAGCAGATATGGGACGCACAATGTATCAGGATTGTTGTTACGATCTTCAAGAAATACGTCGTTGTGCTGATTGTTATCGTATATCAAATGAAAAATCCGAAAAAATGTGGTTCTGTATACCGTGTAATCCTCCTCATCAACTGGTTTACGCGAAGCAAAAGGGGTACCCATATTGGCCAGCGAAAGTCATGCAAGTTAATGGCAATGTATATGATGTGCGTTTTTTCGGAGGTCATCATATGAGGGCTAATATCGAGAAAGTTTTTATTCGGCCAATCTCTTCCACATTACAAAGTTTGCAGGTAAAAATCTAAATCTGTAATACTATGTATTATTCGAATACTATGTATTATTCGTCCAATATTTTAAAAACACTTAATTAAAGATATTAAGTTTATTGTTTATTTGCAATGAATAGTTTCGTATCATAATTGCGATAGAAAAAACCCTCATAAGAAATTTAGAAACTATATTTATATTTTTATATTTATATTTATATTTATATTTTTAAAAAAATAATGAGAAGAATTAGAGACGATAGTAACAGTTGAAAATATATAACTAATTCTTTTCCAAGATATTTGATCCTATAATTAATAAAAAATTTTTGATTTTTTTAATAATTAAAAATGTTTTTATAGATAAAAAAATCAATGGCTTGGAACAGAGCTTTTGAAGAGTTAAAGCATCATCAGAATTTGTTGCAAAAGTTAGCAAAGAATAAGGAAGATGACTCGAATACAACAGAGGACGCTCCTACATCTGCAAAAATGCGAAAGTTGGAATCGTCGAATTCTAAAAGTGCATCACAAGATTCTAATTCACCAAAGCAACTAATTAAAGATTTGAGAGTAAGAGTTGAACGCTTGAGTTCAGAGAGCAATACTGAAACGCAAAATATAAACGATGAGACGGATAATAAACAAGATGCTACGAAAACTGATGCCGAAAATGAAGAAAGACAGGTGCCTCGTTTACCTGTGGCGGAAGACGAACCCGCGGGAGAAAGCATAACGAGCACATGTCCACAAGGTTTAAAGAAGGAAGGTTCCCAAGAAGATATGGTAACATCTAGTTGTCAAGAACCGAGATCGAAATGCGTTCTCGTACAAACTGAACAAATACAAACGGATGGGCTTCCTGCTAAGGTAAACCTTTGTCTCAATCACGTACTCACATGATTACACGATTATATCTTGACAACTGTGCAGATTAATTTGCAGATTAAGAGAGAACGCAGAACTTCGGAACAACCTACGACAACAGCGCTAGAAAAATTGCGCCGTGAATTAGAGCTTGAAAAGTGTAGAGAATTAGAGAGATTACAAGCGGAGCATGCCAAAGAATTGCGGCAATTAACCGATAGACATCAACAAGTCGTCTCTGATATAAAAAAGAAACAATGGGTAATTTTCTCTCATCTTTTTTTCTAGTCGTTTTTTTTAGATATATTATTCTCAAATGTTTATCATTTGTTATAGTGTTATAATTGCGAAGCTGAAGCGATATATCATTGTTGTTGGAATACTGCATATTGCAGCACAGACTGTCAACAGGTTCACTGGCAGCGTGAACACAAAAGAGTGTGCAGGCGTAAGCGTTAATTTATGTTGACGAATA